TTCTAGCACCGATGGGTAGTATATGCCTGGAACATAGCACACAGCACACACACTGACGGAGGGAGCTGGAAGCAGTTTGGCCTCAGGCTTCATTTCCAAAATGCCGTTCTTTCTTCTCTTATTCCACCCCTATCTCTCCCACCTCCAGCTTGCCAACCTTGCTCTCTCTCCCACAGCTCACTTCCCAAAGTCGAAAGGTTTCTTCCTTTACCAGAGCAAAGTCCCTAGAAAATTCAAGCCTGGTTCCCTTCAGGGCGGGGTTTCAATCAGCGCTGGGGCCAGATAATTCTTTCTTGTGCATTACGGGATGTTTAGAGCATCTGGGCCTCCATCCAATACGTGCTATTAGTACCGCAGTTGTGACAACCAAAAATGTCTCCAGATGCCGCCAACCGTCCCTGGGAGGGGGCGGGGCACCGGAGGGACTGGTGCGTTAACATGGTCCTTGGCCGAGAACCACTGCTTTAGGGGCAGACCCAGGGCCTTCTTGGGGCAATTCTAGAGAGAAGGCGCCCTAGAGGCAGGGAGCTGCCTGCCATCCTTTCTTATTCACACGTACTCATTCTTGGACCACTGACCTCTGACCCTGGCCTCAGTCTCCGCCTGTGTCCCTCGACCAACTGACTACAGGGCGCCCCAACGTGCATGACCTGGTCCCCCTCAGCCAGTGTTAGGGCAGGGGGAGGCTTCGGGCCCCGCAGGCGCTAGCACAGCGCTGTGCGCATTAGGGTGCCTGTGTTTGTCGGATGCGTTCCTGAAATCAGACAGGGGGTGCCCTCCTGCGCCACCAGGAGACCAGCAAGAGCCAGCAGCCCAGGCCCCGGAGCAGTGGCTCTGCGGGGCGGCCTCCGTCCTGCAGAGGCGCCTGTGCGCCCCCTGCACTTGGGCCTAAGAGACTGCACACCTGCGCCGCCAGCACCGCCCTCCCCCCCATCGCCAGATGCTCCGCAGGACGCAGCGTCACTTCCTCTACTGATGCCAGACCCACCGCACACAGGGCGGCTCGTGCACTGGATGGGCAGCCGAAGTAGCCACGGGAACCTGAGGGCAGGACTCACTGCCCCACGGAAACGGGCTTTCAGTTCTCAGATGCCAATCAGAGAAACCTGGCCATTTTCTTTTCCAAGAAACAAAACATCCTAATTGGCTATGTACTTAAAAAAGGAGAAAACCTCACTTAGAAATGACCTACTTAATTGCTACGAAGGGAGTGTTCAATGTGCTTCTGAATTCGGCCCCATAGCTACTCATTTCTTATTCTGGGGTGATTCAGTGTTTAATGTGGGGGGTCGCATGCCGAGACCTGCAGGTTGATGCCCTGGCCTGAGGGCCGTGAGCCGGAGGGGGTTAGACCGAGCTCGGCCCCGCGGCTGGGAGCCCGACTCAGGACGCGGCCAGTGCAGACGGCGCAGTGCGCACAGGCCTCGGGGCGCACATCCCCCCCCCCGCCCCCGCCCCCAGCCCGAGGGAAAGCGTGACCACACTGGCAGGCAAAGCGGTCACCAGCGCAGAGCGGGACTTCTATGTGGGCCTCACACAAAACGTCAACCGCCTTCAAAAAAGTTCAAAACGAAACAAAAGGCGCCCGACCCCCAGCGAGGCCCCTCGGGCTGGTTTCCGGGAGGGACCTCGTGAGGGCTTCCTACCGGCCAGGCCGTGTCCCTGTGTTCACAGGACTCCGGGACCACGCCAGGCACACAGGTGGCTCCTCCACATGAGAGCACAGACCCACCCGAATGAAACCACAACCTGAGGTGACTTTTCGAAAGGGGGGGTTGCCTTCTAATAGCAATGGTCGGAACAGCGATAGATGTGAGGACATCAACCCCCATGAAGGACATCAAGACACCAGAGAGCCTCACAGAGGGTGCGCGAGGCTCTGCGCGCCTCCCTCTGGTCTGTGCCTGGGTGTGCGTCTGCTTTTTCATTGGGAAAGAGATTCTCATGCCATTAAGGCCGTATAGGCTTGGGAAGCCAAATGCTCCTCAGCTCCAGAGCCTGCACAGATGCCCACGGAGGAGGCTGCCTGCCAGGCAGGAGGCCCCCCAGGACAGGGAGGACGGCCACTCTGCTCCTCCCACCTGCGCGCCTGTGGCTCCTGGGCCACCTGCAGACTGCGTTTGCAGGGCTCTCTCAGCATCTCCAGGGGGAAGCTCTGGCTGTCCTGAGGGCGGGGCGATAGGGAACTCAAGGACAGCCTGCCTCCCTAACGGGGACAACCTGGGTGTCCTGGTTACAGAGGATGAAAGGCAGCAATGGAATACTTCCTTTCAGAGACACCAGAAATCAACTCTGACCTGTGGAGTTTACAAACATTTTTCTGTCGAATTTGTACGTTTTCTCATAATGAAACTCTGACCTGGGAGTGGGTTGCAGTTATTGCATTTGACTGGGAGGAAAAAACAAAACAGATGGCTGTGGGCTTCTTTACGTTCAGGCTTTATGTCACTGTCACTGGATCTAGCTGTTGAGGCTGTTAAGGCTAATGGTGGCTGTAACATACCGAGCAGTGCAGGAGAGAAGAGTGGACATGAACTTGGCTACCCATTTGGCAAGGCTCAGTTTGGACAATTTGTAGGAACTGACCCAAGTCCGGGGGATAGCCTGGACTTTATTCAATGGGACGCAGAAGCATTCAGCTCATCACCTTTAATCGGTTTGGAGAACGGAGCCAATGTTAAATTCCACGGGTGTACTTTCTGGGCAAGATAAATAGATACAAAGCGGCTTGTTAAGACACAGCGAGCCTGTAAGATCACAGCCGTTAAGGCAGCTGATTCTCCAGTGTTGTTTTAGTGGCAATTTTTGTCGACCTGCTCATGGGAGTGCAGGTGCGGCTCTGGGAATTCATGACCACGAGTGCACTGTGTGTGCAGAGGGGCCAGCAGCTGACACCAGGAGCCACAGTGCGCCTGGGAGATCACCGTGCACAACCTTGAATGAGAGGCCGAGAGCAGAGAGAGCGACGCTGGAACAGGCCCTATCATAGGCACCTTCAATGTGGGCAGAACACAGCACTCTTGTTTTTAAAGTGTCCCTTCAACATAGGGTCTGCCGCGTGAGCGTGAACTGACAGCAGCGGAGTAAGAGCAGCAGGGGTGGGAGTGAAGAGTCGGGACTGGGGACCAAGCGCCTCTCCGGCCACTGAGACTGACTGTGGGGAGGGGTCAGGCAGTGGGAGGACAGGTCTTAACAAAAGAAAAAGCCTAAGCCGAAGATAGGCCAGCACAAAGGGAGTGTGCCCCGCTGAGAGAATGTAGAGCTGCACGGAGGCAGGCTCGGCCACCCTGAAGGGTGCCCCTGCTGGTTCCCCAGCCCCCGCCCCCACCCCAGGGAGCTACTGAGCCGGCTGTGGGCAAGTCTACAGGATGGACGGACCGCTGCAGGGCTCCCTGAACGGGCATGGGCTCCCTGTGCGGGACCTGAGAACCGGCCATGAAACTGACGACCCCCACAGGGCAGCTCCCAGGGGCGGTGGAAACCCGGGGACACGAGCGCAGCCTACGAGGGGCACCCTGGACAAGCGGTGAGAGGTCATAAAGGCAGTGGCCTGGTGTGGAGGGTGACGGCTGCTCTGGGAATGGGAGCTGGGGAGGAGCACCTCCCTGCACTCCTCAGTGACCCAGGAAGGGGAGGCACCCAGCCACCACACCGACAAGCCGAGCTCATGAGCACAGAGGAGCTGGGAAACGCGGAACAGAAATCCGCGGACAGAACTTCAAAGCGGCTCGACAGAACTGAGCTCAGAGCGACACAGCACCAGTGGATGGACTTTCAGAAGGTCCTGAGTGAAGGCACTGCTGCTTTCATCAAGAACACTCAGACATCCTCACTAGCGGCTTAGAGCTCTCTGCTCCACTGAAGGTGGAGGAAACCGTTTCGATGAGCCTCCCTTTCATGAATACTTTGACTTTTTCCATATCCACCTCACGGACTCGGGTGAGAACTGAAGTGTCTGCAGAAAGCCACCGTGCAGGATGCACCACAGCTGGCTGGCGAAGAGCATTGGTAAGAAGGATGGGAGGGGAATCCTCCGTGATTTTAGGAAGGTCCAGTGCTACGATTGTTTACGGGGGCACATGGCCAGAGACCTGCAGTCTCATCAGGCAACAGAATGAAACGAAAGTCATCTTTCAGAGTTTTTCTCATAGAAAGAATTATGTGTTTCTGTGCAGTGGCAAAGGCCTTACCTAAGGAATCCCGCGTGTCTGGTGGACACAGCACCTAGCCCTTCCTACCCTGGTGGACAGAGGCCTCCAAGGCTCCCAGATGGGCACCATCGAGCCGTGTGAGAGCTGCTGGGGTCCGAGAAGGGGGTGGATGGCGGGCTCCCGCCTCACTGACAGTCAGAATGGGAGACTGTGAATCTCACTTAGAACAGGAGCTTCAAAGGGTGCAGAGAGAAAGCCGTCACGGCAGCCACAGCGGCTCCACCCTCCACATTTCTCCAGGGGCAGCCAGGGTGCCCAGCACGGCAAAGGCAGCGACTCCCTCCGATCTTGTCACCACCCAGGCGACCCGAACGGGCAGCAGGATCAGCAGGCAGTCTCGGGCAGGAAGGATGGCGGCGCGTTGGGAACATGGCCACACGGGCATGTTAAAGGGTGTGCGTTCTCATTCACGTGGATGAAGATGAAGTGGAGACAAGGAGAAGACGCAAGGCCAGACTACTTACCATTCAACAACCGTGGCTGAGCATCAGCCACCAGCATGTCCTCTAAGACCAGGCTGCCATTTCCCTAGCATTTGCTTAAATAGTGATGCTTAAAAAAGAGTTCTCTTGTGGGTAACCTGCAAGATAGCCGATCTGCTGTTAAATGCTTGAATGTTAGAGATTGTCTGAGGTCCTTAAGATTCAACCTAAGAACACAGTCTTTGAAGTTCCAAAGTGCAGGACCAATGAAATCCCGATGACTGAAAGGGGACCTGTATGCCTCGTTTTATACATACCAGAAAGACAACACCATGCAGGACATTTCCATGGTAATGACGTACCGTACCTGGGATGATGGTAAGGATGGTGGTGGTGGTGGTGGTGGTGGTGGTGGTTGTTGTGGGAGGAGGGATAGTTGTGGGGGGATCTGGATAAAAAAAAAAAAAGGAAAATCAAACCCACAATGCTGAACACAACAATGACCAGTAATGACAAAACAAAGGCATGAGGACACTGAGATGTTTGTTTGATGGCTCCCCTTTAAAACCAAAAGTATCCTCCAAAGATTTATGTCTTCTAATTATCCCAAAGCCATGGTTGGAAGAGCTAAGAAAAGAAGAGTGTTGTAATAATGACGTCGATGAAGATGAGGAAATGTGAAGTAGAGAAGGGAGGAAAAATAAAAACATAGGACCACCCCCACCGGATCCAATTTCAAAGGTGAAGTTAAATCAGCTCCGCACTTAAGGGCATGATGGGTGTCGTTCACTTTATAATTCCACAGACGGGCGGGAGCAGGGACCGGCTGTCTGCAGGCTCCTGCTTCCTTGCTCTTAGGAATGCTAACCCTCTCATTTCCATCCACGCAGCCCAGCAGGAGGCAAGACCGCTTCTGCCTCCGCATACCTCCACACGGAGAAGAGAGAATGCCACCACTAAGTATCAAGTTCCTTAAAAGTCAATAAAAGTTTACAACTTATCGATATTGATAAGTTAGTTGCCTTTGCTCATGTTAAGAGCTTGACCTAAGTGGACGACAAGGATGAAACCGAAGGAGTGTTTTCCACCTTGTGAACAAGAGGACTAGGTGTCAGTGAGGCCTGACCCTCAGAGCCAGGAATCCCAGGGGAAGCCTCTGTCAGACGCTGCGGTTTTGGGGAAAAGGGAAGGGCAAATATGAAAGAGAGAAATTCCAAGCCCAAATGATCAAACCGAATGTGTTAACTGTCAGCAAGACTTTGAACTAAGCCACCATTCCGCTGTAACAGAGCAGAAGATGACTTGAAGGCTTTTGATTTTAAATTTTATCTAAAGCACGTCAATTTTTTCTCCCTGGCACATCTGGTGTCCTTTAATCTCCAAGTGTGCTCTCAGATTGTCTAATTAATACATCAAACTTTAATTATATACTGCACCTTTACTGGGCTTCGCACAACTTCCTGAAAGTTGATGAAAACATGATCTTGGTTCTTGGTTGTAATGCCTGTTTAAAATGATTCCTACTATTGATCAATAATCCGAGGTTTTAATGTCCCTCACAGACTTCTCTCAGACATACACATATGTACTCATCTGACAGTGAAGAATCAACAGCAAGTTGTTCCGTTTTATGGGAGACATTATTTATTTAAGTTGAGGACACAAGCAGTTTAAGCTATTGTTAAAGCAGCCTCACATAAGACTAGAAGGAATCCACTAAAAACAAAACAAAATCTCATTCTCCTCCAAGTAGAAACCATTAAATTGGTGATTTCAAAACTACTTTTTAAGAAGAACAGGCAGCGTGCTCAGTCTTGCTCCTGAGACACTTTCTCAGGGGCCACAGGTGTGACCTGGCAGCTCACCTGGACGCACTGCCCGCCCCCCCCACACACACACGTGTAGGTGCAGAAAAGGCGCGCTGGCCCTGAGCCAGCACTGAAGACTTCCGCTCCCTCCAGTCCCCAACTCCACTGCACCCAGAGAGGCGCCTGCTGCCCAGCAGTGGGCAGCTAATGTGCTGGTTCAATTATAATACTTATCATTGAATGGCCACTTCTGTACCTGGGGGCTTCCCCTGACACCCTAGACTGCTATTTCTGTACCTGTCTGTAAAAATATTGGCACAACTATGTGATGTCCACCAGTCAATCAAAGAGGACCTGAAGGTGATTTGAAAAAATGGTTATAAACAAGGACTGGGCCATCCTAATGAGGGCAGAGACTCAGGTCAACAGTTCTTTTCATTTTGTGGACAATCACACATTTTCAATTATTTTCCTCACTGCTGGGGAAAATGTTGTCCTTCACATCTGGCTCAAGTGACCTAAATGAATTAGATTCTGCTAACAGGTAAAAAAACTCAGTGTTCAGATCGTGTCCAGCATCAAGAGCAACATGAGCCACTAGTTAAAAAATGCAGAGTTGGAGCTAATGAGCTGGGTTTGACACACAGAAGCAACAGAACAAAACAAATTGGGGCTCAGGCACGAAGCAGCTAGATTCTCGAGGTACAGAAGTTACTTCCAGAGAATTAAACATTGTAAAGGCATGTTAACTCTTAGCTCATAAAGCACTTTGAAAGTTAATGTAGTAGCACAGTAAATCGGCTTTGAAAAGAAAATCTATTCACCATCTTCTCAAATTGCTAGAGTATTTTATCAACAGACTAGCAACACCTCAGGTGAGTATTCTAGCCTGCTTTCCAAGGCCTGCGAGGGGCACAGCGGTAGGTAGGAGGTGGTACAGTGCAGATCCCACAAGGCCCTCATCAAGGACCAGCCCTATCCTGGTGGGGACATGTGTGAATGACATGTGCTAACCTAACATGCAGGTCTCTATGTTTCTTGGCTTTCCCATAATGCACTCTGGCCCAGTGAGTAAATTCCAAAAGAGCAGTCTTATATTGGAGGGAGTTTTTCTATTGGCCATCAGTGAGAATAAAAGGAACTGCAAAGAAAGATACAAATGTCCCTGTGGACTTGGGAGTCAAAGGACCATGGCCCTGACTTAGTAACCTTGTGAACAAGTTATGTGACCTTTCTAAGCCTCATTTTATCTTCTGTAAAATGGGATGAAGACAATGCTTACCTCCTGATGTGATTGTGGAGATCAGAGGTGATTATGCATGTAATACAGCCAGTCATCCTAGAGTGTGGAATAAATACTAGCCATGAGCTAATACCCAAAATTATCCACATATCGCTGTCCACCAAACCCATAAAGTGTTTCTCATCTTGAGATGCAGGAGCAGCAAGTACAATAAATCAACATTGTTTTTCTAGGTGTTTGAGTCTTCTGAATCAAGGAAGCATATAATAGGCTGGTGGAAATCTGTCACTACTTCTTATAATCTGCACTTTTAAGGAGAGCTGAACCAAAGTCTACACCTGGGTAACAGCAATGTGGGGACGGCCTGAGGTTCACACCCTGACTCAGAGAGCAGAGGGGCGAGTTTGGAAGCAAGAGGGAGGCATGTACCTTCCAGCGCTGCCAGTGGCACATCGTGAATAGTCTGAGGGACGGAGTAGCTCTGTGGATTGTCACCCAAAAGTAGGGCACCCACCTGGGAAAGTCATTTCCTTCACTCTGACCTCCTTAACTACCGGGGAGAAGGAATGCTATCGTGTGCAGATCACAGACAACAGGCGCAGTGAGCAAACACTGACCTCAGAAGTCTACTAAATAGGGGATGAGGAGTGGTCCTTTAATTTTGCATTATGCTAAGGACAAAAAGCTCAGGTATGGGCTACAGATTTTATTTTAATATCCACGTAGATATGGTGTAAAGCATTCTTCCATCTCATCAAAGAGAATGTGATTTCTATTTTCTTCACAAGGAAAGTGGCCAGGTTCTAAGTCTGCTGTAAATAAATATTTCACATGTCTGTTTGTGTATATGTGTATACCTGTACACTTACAGTGGGGTTATTTACACTGCTAACAAGAAGAAAGACATGCACTCACACCTCAGATATTTAGAAGACGCTGGCATTTTCCTGCCTATGGTTACTCATTCTGTGTCATGTCAGTTCATGGCTCTTTTTCCTGGTGTTAAACTAACCAAGAGACTGCCATGGAGCAGGAGAGACGCGGCTTGTCATCATCAGCCTGGAGAGGCGGTGGTCCCTCAGCTAAGGGGGAACAGTCACCACACACAGAGCTGACGGGAAGATGTAAATGGGGAAAAGGTTTAAAATGCCCGGCACACGGTGGGATGCTCACTAAAATGTGACTAGAGAACGAAATCCATTGTAACATACTTTAACAATCCTGTAAAAAGATATTAAGAAAGCAAACAAAATTTTTTAAAAATTGTGTCTAAAGCAGTATCTATAGGTCGTTAACGTAGCTACCAAGGACCTTCTATTTTGTTTTTTTTCATTTATTTACTGCCTTGCAACACCTTTTTGTAATGTACCAGATTCATGCTGAAAATAGGGTAGTTTGCTCATCAAAGCAGGAGAAAGGCTAACCCAGGCACCACAGGAAAATACCAATGGGAATAAACTTTCTAAGCTGAAAAGCATGAATTGGTGCGGTTGGATCCTGCAGTCATTAGTTCTCACATCATCTCCATTCCAGATGCCTGGGGACCCCGCTGTCCTGGCAGGAAGGCCCCTGATTATAGGGAGAGGCCTGGCACCGCCCTCCCAGGGGAGACGCTGGGGTCTGCCCCAGGCCCTGCTTCTTGAAGCAAACAACTGGGTTATGGGTTTTCAACTTGACCAAAGACTTGGGGAGAGAACTACAAGTAGCAGCAACATGTACCGCGGCTAAGGGAGGAGAGCTGCATCTCACGTACCATATACATACAGCGTATAATCCGAGTGAGCTTTCCCCACGACGTTGGAGGCTTCGCAGCGGTACGTCCCGTTATCTGTTTTGTTCAGGTTATTGATGAACAGGTTGGGCCCGGACAGCACGGCGTGCTGGGGCATTTCATCATCGACTCGCACCCAGGTTACCTTGACGGGCCTGTGGAGAAGGGGGGGGGGGCAGGCACGTTATCTCCCGCACCAGGTCTGCGCAGACTGCGCGCTCCCACATGGAATCACACGCAGGGCGACACAATTAAAGAGGACTTACCGCAGGTAGTTTAAGTTCACAGAATTACAGCTGTGAAGTCTCCAAAACATTTGTTTGGAATATAATTTTCTTTAAACGTTATCAGGTGTTGAAAAACTTTCAACACACCACAAGTGGGAGTCTCATGATTTCCAATTTATCTTCAACAAATCAGAAAATAACCAGCACACCCTATTAGTCTGCCCTGCTGTCTGGTTTCACACCAATTCAGACAGGACAGAGCTCACGCATTGTTATTCATCTCATTAACGAGGGGAAATTGCATCCCCGGCTAGCGACCCACGCATTAATCTGGTGGCGACTGGCACAACAAGACACCTGCTTAGAAGACACTTGTGATATTGAAATGGATTTCAAGTTTCACAAAAAGGGATGGGCGTCCACATCTGAGGAGCGCTTGCTTTGCGCTCTGCTCTATCAGGATCACCTTTTCTCATTCTGGAAAGATGCCTTCACTTCCTCTGCCCTCCTCCAACCCAAGCGGCACTGCCTCGCTGCCTGCCGGCCACCTGGTCCTGTGCTCCCTGGCGGTGCCTCCTCTGCAGGCTCCGCTCGCCCTGTGTGCACCCGCAGGCCCACAGCTGGAGGCCTCAGGTCATCCCCGCAGGCCTCCTCAGTCCCAGGGGCGAACTCTGCAGGGACCACGGTACTTTAGGGATTTAAGTACCACATTCGCACCCATCACTAAAAGGCGAATTTCACAAGATGCACCAGAGCCAAAATTGCACACACAAATTATCGTTCAAAAGTATCTTCACAACTATCGCTCCTTCAGGCGGCTCCTTCGACCTCCGAGGAAACCGCAGCCACGATAGGATTGTGCCTCAATGGGGCTGCAGGGAGAGTGGCGCCAACTCCAGTGCAGGAGAACATCCCTGTCCCAGCGCCACCTCCAGGGGCAGCGATGCCACAAAGGAGCCGCTGGGGGCGGAGACTCAGGCCGCCTGTCCAGCAGCATTCCAACCTCCAAAGGGGACCTGAAGTTACCATTTTCTTTAATGACACCTGCGCCCGCTGTCACAGCCCGTAGGTCATTTAAGAATCAGCACCGCATGTGCTCCGTGCAGGCTGCGGCCAGCGGCCCCCCTGCAGTCAGACTGCGGCCCTGCGCCTGACAGCTGAGCCCACCAGTGGGGTGGGTGCTGAGCCGTGCACAGCTCTAAGGGCAAGTCCAATGACCACTGTATTGTGTGCGATTTCCAGAGAGAGCAAACAGGCCACGTGCAGGGCAGGTTAGCAGCCGCGGATGCCAGCTTGCTCCTACTCACGCCTGTTCCTGTGCGTGAGGCACAAACACCCTCTGGCATCAATGTCCCAAGGGAACCTGTCATTTACAGTCCCCGTGTCACATTCAATCAAATACCGTACCCCCTTCAGCAGAAGAAATAGATAAACAAAATATAGTTTAGCGAGCCATACACTGGAAATGCAGTTAATGTGGCTGAACATAGGTGTCCCAAGTGGCAAGAGGCCCGTGAGGATAATTTTCTCTCCTGGGGATTGTTTGGAGGCAGGCGAGCTGCTCACTAGGGCATAATTCAAGCAGTCTTCACAAGAGACGCCAAGTCTTCCAGTGTTCAGAGAGGCCACTCCGCAGCTGGGCGTGTACACCAGCAACTCTGGACACCAGGAGACGAGCAAGACGCTCCTACTTCCTAAGGTCGCCTTGCAATCCCGTGGCCAGGACAGGGAGCAGCCAGTCCTTGCCCTGGGAGAGGCACGCGCCCTGGGAGGGGTGGAGGGGAAGAGAGCCTCCTGCAGCCAGGCCCCTGGGCTCCCGACCCCGGCCACGGGCCGCTGCTTAGCTGTCGTGGGAAAGCCCTTTCCAAAACTTCCTGTTCAGAGGCTCTAAGTTCCTTACACGAAAACGGCGATAATGACGCTGGTCAGCAACAGTGAGAGGAAAAAAATCATGCCGGGGGGACAGCAGGGGGAGCTCAACGCCGTGTCTGTCGGGGACACTGGGAGTCTGAGTGCCACTCCCGGCACTGACCGAGGTGCCCTTTAGGGTTCTGTGGGTTACTTTCCCCGAAGAAGCATTAACACCAATCTCCACTCTGCTGGAGCGTCCCCCCTCCCCAACTGCACCGAGGACACCTGCAGTGGGCATTGCTGTGTCAGTGACGACAGTTTCTCTAATTCGCCTTCATTCGTCCATCAGGGGCAAGTAACTTCTTCACACTGCAATGACACTGGAGTGTTTGCTGGTTCTCCTCACATACCTATATAGGGTGTCCCCCCAAAATGTATACACACACTTTGAATAGTTATAAAGGCGGTGTTTATTACAATACATTTTGTTTTCAAAATTGAGCTATCAGCTGTTAAGGTGTATATACATTTTGGGGGGACACCCTGAATATATCTTGAGAAAAATTCCTGAATCATTCCTTACTAACAAAAATATTTCCAGTAGTCACTTGTCTTTGCGGGAAAGAGAAGCAAAGTTAAAGGTAGGGCAAATTCATTTGCCTCCAGCTGGCCCTAAACGCAGCAGCTTAATTTTTGTCTAACAACTATCTTCCCAGCAGCAAAGACATGAACACGGAGGGAGTAGATGTATCATTAGATTGTGGGCACACTAACAATTTATTGGGATTATTTTTTGTGTATGAGAGACAACAGTTCTGACAATCATGTTGCTGATTATAAAATAGAATTAGCTGAGATTTCAATCTTAGCTGGTATTTCATTTTTCTCCCTAAGGTCACCATTAAGAACCACCGATATTTAGTCCACTGAATATTCTTTTATTTCCTGAAAAATATTCCACCTTTCCAGCAGGAGAGAGTGACAGGCCAGTCTCTGCGTGGTGACGTTTCCTGCTGTGACCCCCGCCAACCATGGCCTTGAGAACTTACTGGGGTTTCCCGCTGACTTCACAGGTTAACTCAAGCGCGTCCCCTTCCCGGGTCAGGCCTTGTAGAGGGTAAGTCATCTGAATATGCACCCGAGGCTTATCTGTATGACAACACAAAGTACAAGGTTTAGCAAATGGTATCGTCAGGCACAATCAGACGCGCTTGCTGCCACACGCCCGGAGTACCAGCCCCCACCGTCCCCACCCTCTGCCTTCCCTAACTCCCTTCTAATTAGTTAGTAATCCTGGCATTTGCTCAAATTAAATTGACTAATAACGCTAAGGAGTGAACTACGAATAGATAAGAGATTCATAAGCCAACTGCGCCACATCAAATATTTCCTGTGAAAGACATTTTGTTACATTGAAGTTTATCTCCAGACTCACTCAAGCTAAAGGAAACTCATTTGCTTTCATGCTGAGGTGAAGCCACAGATATTTGTGGCGCTTGGAATGGATACATTTTATCATATGTCATATGTTACTATGCGACAATAAGCTGTGACACTGCATATTAATCAGTTTGCCTCTTCTATGCACAACTCCCGCGTTCTACTCAAATGGCTTTAAAGACGAGGAGATGGAGGTTCTGGTGGCTCTTACTGAAACTCTGGCTTCTCACATGTGAACATAAACAAGAAGGAAGGGCGCCGACCGTCTCCCGAGAGCCAGCCTGTCCTGGGGACCGAAACTGGTGGAGAAACAGCCCCGGTTTTGGGGATGAGAACACTGGTGCGGAGAACGAAGTAGAAATAAACCTGAGAGAGTCCCACAAAATGCGTATTGGGAGAAATTTCTGATTCAAAACCATGTTTTCCAATAACAATCCAAGTGTTCAGGGAAGTACTTAGGTAGGTGATCCAGCTATTCTTATTTCCACTAGCTGCTTAAAAGCTGAGTTTGTGCCCCAGCTGGTTTGGCTCAGTGGATAGAGCGTCGGCCTGCGGACTGAGGGTCCCGGGTTTGATTCTGGTCAAGGGCACCTGTCTGGGTTTCCTGCTCAATCCCCAGTAGGGGGCGTACAGGAGGCAGCCAATCAATGATTCTCTCTCAGCATTGATGTTTCTCTCTCCCTCTCTGAAATCAATAAAAATATATTTAAAAACAAACAAAAACAAAACAAAACTGAGTTTGTAAGCGTGTGAGAGCTGAATGAGGGAGGGGCAGGGACTAACTAGGGAGGGGAGAGAAGAGCTTGGAGTTAAATATCCAAGCAGATACATTTGCAAATAAAATAAAACCTAGATGAAACTGGGGTTTTATTTTTTGTCTATTCTGAACAAGCTATTAATCCCTAAATCAGTTTCTCACTTAATTCTGTGAGTCTGTAAATGCATATTTTTGAAAATGTTCCCAAGAGTAATAAATGTGAGAGGGCAAGACATCAGTTGGCTGAAAGGCCAAAATAATTTCCATAACTCACCCTTGTCAGACAATCACAGACCTAAACAACAGCCCTTTGGCCTTTACAAGCAGTGGCTGCTCATGAACATTCATCCTATGGAACCAGGAGGACACAGGGACCCAGGGCTCGGCCTGTCTCAGCCGGGACCCTGCAGGCCAGGCTGCACAGGTCTTCTCCAGGGATGGCTGCTTTCCGGACGCACTGGAGGTCTTGCTTCCTATCAGAGATCTTTCTCTTACGGCTGAAAACCACGAGGCACGCAAGGCCTTTGCGGAGAGCCCCTGCCCCACCCCCGCACGCTGACACAGTGAGTGGGAAGAGCTTCCCAAGAAGCTGGGTCTCTGACAGGCTCACCGGCCTGAGGGCCAGCTGAGCTGCAGGCAACAAATGGCTCTATTCTTAGACCTGCTGGCGAAATGGCGAAGGTTTCCCGACGTGATGACTGTAGGAAGGGAATCAGTAAAGAAAGGCTGGGCACAGGACAGCAGGACGACCTTGACCGAGGACTGACTGCTGGTGGGCAAAGAGCTCCTCTGAGAGCTACAGGCTGTCCCGTAAGCTACATACAACCATGCCTGCTGGTTTTGGTGTATGACACACACCCAGAGAGGCTGGTTGGTGAAGTTTATGAAAAACAAACACAACAGCAACAACAATAGCAGAGACCACACGGGACCCGCTGCCTTACTGTTCATTCTGACACAGCATCAGTGACAGAGTCCCTGGTCGGGAGCCTCTGACATTCTCACCCGTGAACCTTTCTGGGTGAGACTAAATGGAAAGCCCCAAACTCGGGCTGAAATGTAACGTCTGCTTACAGGTTAATCTCTGACTCACGGAAGGGCTACGTTTTCCATGCACTGCTGACTTCATCCCAGCAATTAAGGGGAAGCAAAGGTTATGTCCAAGGCTTTTTTCCCCCTGTGTAATTTACAAGCAATCAGAGAGGATATATTTTTCAGCATAGCCACTGAGGGTTCTACATGCTCAACTTCCATCCTATATAATAAAAGCCTAATATACAAATTGTTCGACTGGGAGTTCGACTGCTCACTATGACGTGTGCTGACCACCAGGGGGTGGCGAGGAACATGGTGGGCACTGGCAGCGGGCGGCAGTGGAGGCACTGCCGGCCCTGATGAGAGTGGGACCACAGTGGGATGGTGGAGCAGGTGACTGGGCAGTGCCAGGCCAAGGCAGGTGCTAGTGGGAGCCTGATCGCCCCGCAGAAGGTGACCAGCGGCGATGGTGGGGGCGGGGCTGTCACCTGACTCCCAAGCACTGAGGGATCTGGGTGGGGGGCCTGGCCCGGACAGATGGTCCTACAGACAGGATGGTGGAGCAGGTAAGGGGGCGGCACCAGGCCATGGCAGGGTGCCAGGCGGGGCTGTGGGGCTGCGAGGCTGGGGGCACTAGCTGGGGCTACAAGCCTGGGGGTGAGAGCTGGGGCCCGATCTCCGCAGGCCACCCCTAGGGACCCCACCTGCGCACAAATTCGTGCACCAGGCCTCTGGTTAATAATAAAGAGAGTGCTGAACATCTAATCCACTCTGCCTTTTCAGTACAACTGAGTTTGTTTAGGTAAATGTTTCTTTATGTTACTAACGGCTGCTTACCAGTTGTCAATTACTCACATAAATTAGGAAGAACAAGCTATAAGTTTGCCATATCTGGAATTTATGTTTAAAAATCATATACTAAGCCATAGGACAGGCACCTTCATTTTTGGTAACTGATTTTCCTAATTTACCCCTTAGGTTTCTGGAGACACACTACCATGTACTTATGGGTACAGCCGCCACAGTTACCTTAATAGCTCAGTGAAAAGGTACACATTAATCTTGCTGGTATCACACAGAAAAATGTCTTCCTCTGTCACACATTCAGTATTTACAGGCATACGATCCGACCGCAGGGCAGCTGGGCTATCCTCACGCCCAGAAGGGACCAAACAGAGGTCTATGTGCCCAGATCCCTCCCTGAGTGAAGGAAACTCACAGACAAGGCCGGTTCCCTGTCCTTTTCACCGGGAGAGGAACTTCCGTATTCTCCACAGGAGACTGGAAACCCTGGGGTCCCACTGGCACCTCTAGAACTCAGGGATGCTAACAGTTCCCAGCAAGAGCCTGACAGCAGGATGACTGTCAAAATCCTGAGCAGTCAGGTGGCCGACTGCATGGCCCAGGCTCATCAGTAATGTTTTAATTATGTTCATAAATCAAATGCTATAACCCACTGAATCTCTTCTGAAACAGAAGCAGACGCCAGGATTTCTTTTTAAGTAATGAGGTAAGGCCCAGTCCATTTTCTGGTGACCATTTTATGTATCGGCTGGTGGTGTCAGGCATAGGCCACAAGCCAGGTGACACTTTCTATCCAAGTGCAGTAACTGCCCAGGAATGTAATGCTCAGAGCGGCTCCATGTCACTGCAGAATGGAGCCGCTACGGAAGTGAGAAAAACAGTCAGGCCCACGCACTTTGGAACATTACAATTACAGAGATGGCATCACCAACAGCCAACCGATTGGGTCGAGGAATCTGAGGTTTTCATAATACAGCGGAATTTTTTACCCCCACCCCTCCATAAGAGACAGTTAGCAAGACTGCCATAGCATCAACATCCCTTCATCAGTCAGCGGTACATGGAGGGCTAAATACTGAGGCTTTAGGTCACACTACAGTAGCAGCCAATTAAAAAATAACGTTAGAAAGAGGCTCTGATTTGCTGAGGCTTCCTTTAAATGCACTCTGCTCTCCCTATGAAGGGAACGTGTGCATATATAAAAGGAAACTCTGAAAGAGGCGAGGATGGCTGCTGGCAGGTTACAGATGATGTCACGCCAGCCTGGCCTTGCCACACATCCTATGATCTTCTCAGAAGATGAACCTCAAAGCCCCAACCTGTATGTCACTCTCCTATGCAAATGACCAGTCTCCTCTCCGGACCAACACCAACGCATCCGGTCTTTATTTAAAAGGGTGCGATGCCACCATCCCACATCCTACTAGCAAGAAGAGCTGCGGCCAGGGGGAGGCCTCCCTCAGCCCAGCAGACCTATCACCCCCGGCGCTACAGGCACCCCCTTCTCTCCCTGAGATTCTAAGTCAGGAACGTGGGCGTCAAACGTTCCCTGACGTGCTCACTGAGCCGGGCTCAAGGGCTTGTGTGCAAATCTGCTTCGGGCGCTGCGTTGGGGACTCGGGCTCTTCCTTAGCTTCCACCCAATATGCGGGGACACCAGTGACAGTGGGGCTGGACGGCCACAAAGCAAGTGCTCACTGCTTCCGGGCCCAGCAGGGAGAACGAGCGCAGTGTGTCAAGAACCCAAGGGTCCCCCTGCGGTACAGCCTGGCCGGGGGAGGTCCCCCTGCGGTACAGCCTGGCCGGGGGAGGTCCCACTGTCCCACAGCATGGCTGGGGAGGGTCCCACTGCGGTACAGCCTGGCTGGGGAGGGTCTCACTGCGGTACAGCCTGGCCAGGGGAGGTCCCACTGTCCCACAGCCTGGCTGGGGAGGGTCCCACTGCGGTACAGCCTGGCCAGGGGAGGTTCCCACTGTTGTACAGCCTGGCTGGGGAGGGTCCCACTGCGGTACAGCCTGGCCAGGGGAGGATCCCACTGCGGTACAGCCTGGCCAGGGGAGGGTCCCACTGCGGTACAGCCTGGCTGGGGAGGGTCCCCCTGCAGTACAGCCT